CGATATCACAAGTTAAGTAATTTCAGTATTTCCTTGGCTTCCCCAAATCACCAAAAGGTCAAGTTGAGATTAGTATATTTCTATTAGTAGTTTACAGCAAAAAGTTAGAAATAAATGCCTCTGTTTTAACACCATCCACAGAAAAGTCAGCTATTCCCTAAAACCCTCTTTCAACCGACTTTAGCTCCAGCCTTCAGCAGCTCACAGCCACAGTCTAAACCCCTTCCAATCCTCCTCTCTCTTTCTCCTTCTCCTTCATTCTTTCTTTCTTGCATCAGGCTTAGTATATCTTGTCAATTAAGGCAAAGTTTTTTTATCCTGTCTTTTCCCAAGCCTGTTGCTGTTACTGCTTGGATTCTGTGGCATAAAATTCCAAAATGTGATATGGCAAAGTCAAATTTCTCTGAGGAACCAGGAGAGTTGTGAATGATCACACTTCATACATTACCAGTTTTTGTTCTCAAAAAACTTCACAGTTCCTAACTGTGGGAAGCACAATGGTTTCTTCAGCAAATAAGTTGTAAGAGAGGAGAAAGAAGACCAAGGTGAAGGGGGGATCTTTAAAATACTATTAGTTGTATTTATGTTGTTAATTTTTTAAAAAGTTATTGACATTCAGAAATATTGAATAAAATTTTTGCAGATCAAAAAAAAAATAAAAAATAAAAAAAAATTAAAAGAGGAAGCTCAAAAGGGCAACCATCTGCTGTTCAAACAAATTTAAAGCACTATTTAATTTGACCTGACAGTCACCTTAGAATATGCCAATCCTCCCAATTAAAAATGTGATTATGTGAATTTGATGAGTACATATTTTTTTTCATGGCTTTCAGGCAATAAATGATATAGCCTGAAATTACCCAGAATTACCTAGCTCCTACAATTGATTAATGTTCCCAGATCCTATGAGTGGTTCATAGTACTCAATTTAAAAGATCCTTTTCTGCACACTCCTGGGAACAAACTCAGCTCTTATTTGCTTTTGAGTGGCAGCATCCTGATACATAGGAAGGGTACCAGTACTGCAGGAAAGTGCTCCTCAGGGACTTAAAAACTTTCCTACTTGATTTCCAGAATGTGTAGCAAGGAATTAAATCATCCAAAATTTACCCAAGGACTCCTAGAAATTTGTGGATTGTTTGTTGATGGCTAGTTCTACCTATGACTTATGTTTAAATAATACCCTTAATACTCTCAAACACACAGCCTGTTGTAGATAAAAAAGTATATCTTGGAAAGACTCAAATAAGTAAACAAAATTGTGCTTCTAGTCTTAACTCAAGAAGCCAGAGAGACTTATTGTAAACTATAAAAGAGCTATAATTTGTTTAAAGACCCTCATTATCTGTCAACAATTTTGAGGTTTTGTATGAATGGCAGTTTTCTGTTGAACATGGATATCAAATTTTGGCCTTAAGCTGGGCATGGTTTTGCACACCTATAATCCCAGCAAATTTGGGAGGTGTGCTGATAGGAGGATTGCAATTTTACAACCAGTTCAGCAATTTAGCAAGGCCCTAAGCAACTTAGCAGAGTCCTATCTGAAAATAAAAATAAAAAACGCTGTGGATGTGGCTCAGTAGTAAGTGTCCCTTGGTTCAATCACAAGTACAAAAAAAACAACAAAATTTCTTTTTGGCCTTATAGTTGAGCCTTTTAATTAAAAACTGAAAGGAACAGATTCTGAAACTCTAGAGTGGTTTCCAACTTCCAAAAGACTTTCAACACTATAAAAATCAAAATTACTCAAGGAACCGTTTTACACTTATCAAACTTAATTAAGCCCTTCAATTCATTTGTATGTGAAATACAAGGAATTGGGTTGGGATTTACTCAAAATTTGGTATCAATCCTACATCCAATGGCATATTTTCAAAGTAATTATATCGGCTCTTAAAGGAAGTCTGTTTTGTGTGTGGGCAGTTACAACCAAGTATGAAGTGTTACAAGAGGTTGACAAGTCCACAGTAGGGAAACCCATCACCATCTATACTCCTCACCATGTGCTAACTATTCTAGATCAAAAGGAGGCTATTGGATAATACTGGAAGGAGAAGCAGATATCACACCATTCTCATGGATTATCCTGCATGATACAGAGATAGCACAACATGATTGTCTGCAGGTCATCATGAAGTTTTTTTTTTTTTCAAGCAGCCATATTTGGTGGATCAACCTCTAGAAAACCCAGACCAGAGCTCTTCAATTATGTTAGAAACTTAATGAAACAAGATGTATGCACTAATTTTTTTCTTTAGAATTAGTAGGAGTCATATTATGAAACCATCATACAGGATGAAACAAGATCCACAAGCCATTGATGATTCAGACAGGAAAAGAAACAAGAGGAACTTCTTCTGCCAACCTATAGATGATCTATAGTTGATATTTAAGAGAGCAAGCCCACAGATAATACATAGAAATTCTACCAAAATGATAGTGATCACTGGCATAGAAAGAGTTTTAATTGCCTTTGCTCTTCTTATTATTTTAGCTTTCATAGATCCAAATTCCATTTAGATGGGATCCAATAACATGAAAACAGTACACAAAAGGAAGCCTGTTGGATCCACAGGTTATCATATTTTTCAAGAACTTTGGTGTTGCTGTGGTGGGTGTTTCTCATAAAAAGCAATGATTGGAATATGATGCAACTTCCAAATCTCTGCCACAGGTGAGTCTTGATCTATGTTTTATTAGTATGATTGATCACTTGGTATCAGTCTCTGGTTCTCTAAAATCAAATGGCAGTAGATATACTCATAGGATCCCTCTAACTTGTGCTATCATAAAATCTATGTGTAAATCCCTGATAATCCAGGAAATGTCTTTCTGAATCTACAGAACAGCCCAAGAGGAGGTCATGACTGATGATTCAGCACTCAACCTAAATGCATGGTTATTGCTCTTGATTGAGTGAATATATTCTGGCAAAATTTAGTGATGTTTCTAATAGGTTTTGTGTGTGCAGGGTTACTCTTATGGGATCTATTGTTGCTGAGGAATAATTTCTCAATTACAAGACTATCTTTCAAGCCATGCTCTACTAGCAAGGAGGCTAGAAAAACACGGTACTACATAAGTTCAAAATGATTTACACCTTACCTTGGCACAGCCAAGAAAAGAAATTCAAAATGCCTCTTTGTCAACCAGGCCAGTTTGTTCCATTTCATAGGTGCCTTTTTACAATTAAGTTTATACCCAACAGGAAGTAGCCAGATGACACTAAGATTCCTTTCCACTTAAGAATATGTGGTGGAACAAACTGACAGTGGGGAATGGAATGTGCTCAAATGCTCCCCACATAGTATCTACACCTAATTCTCAAAAGTTCCTCTTTGTTTCTGTCTGATCTATATTGTATAGATTAACTATACACTAAAATTAACTATACACTAAAATAACACTAAAATTATTCTAGAAACGAATAAAACCTTCCTTCCCAGTATCAAGGGGTGTAAGTTATACATAAAGGAAAAAAAGGTCACACCTAGGAGGGTTCTTGCTCATATGCTGACCAAAACTAAAACTAAATACAGGCCACTCTGCACAACACAGATGCTTTTAATTATTTAAGTTTTCTTTATCTCTATGTAAGGAAAGAAAATGCATACAGACCATTCTGCAGAAGCATCTACTCTCTGAAATGCTGGACAATGCCCCCAGCCCAGGACCCACATATCTTCCCCTGAAAAAACATATAAGATGTTCTCTCTTAGGGAAAAGGTAAAATGGTCATTGATGGTGAGAGTTAATCATTTTTTCTAAAGCTATTCTTTCTCCATTACATTGTTTCTAGCTTCATTGACTCTACTGGACAGCAGTGAACTGAACTTGTGAGGTTACACTAATTTAACCAATAATAGGCAGAATACACATTCTTATAGGCCCAAATGGACCACTCACCAACATGTACCACATCCTAGACATAAAATGCACCTAAACATTCAATCACATCTGTCTGCCCTCAAACTACAATGAAATTACACTAGAAAGAAAAAATCAAAAGTAAGTGAAAAATATCCAAATTCATGATTATTAAATAACCAATTTTAATACTATGTTAATCATAAAGAAATTCAACTGGGCATGGTGGGGCATACCTGCAATCCCAGGATCTCAGGGGGCTGACAGAGAAGGATCACTAGTTCAAAGCCAGTGTCAGAATTTTGTTAAGTCCTCAGCAATTTAGTGAGACCCTGTCTCAAAATAAAAAATTAACAAATGGGCTGGGGTTGTGTCTCAGTGGTTAAGAGCTGCTGGGTCTAATCACTGGCACCAAAAGAAACAAACAAAAACCCAACCAAACAAACAAACCCAAAAGACTTTAAAATACTTTGAGTCAAATGAATTAAATGTTAATTAAAAAAAACATCATCAAAAATTGTGGAATACAAGGAAAACAAAGCTTAGAGGAAAATGTACGGAACTGAATGCGTGTCTCAAAAATATGAAAGATCTAAAACCAATCATTCTGAATATTTAACTTGAATCCCATAAAATGTTGGGCAAATTAAATCCAATGTTTGTAGAAAGTGACATAATATTGCAAATATAATAAATTAAACAGAACTTTCAAATGACTTAATAATTTAATAGGTTGCAAAATATGAATGTCCCCAAATTAGCAAGGAAAATACAGCACCCAAAAAGAATCACTGCAAATCAAACACTTAACTCTGAATGGCAAAGAGTTAACTGTGAATAACCTGCCTAAAAGAAACTAAAGTATGTAACTAGTGACACATCCATAATGTAAGAAAGTACATGTGATAAAGAAGAAATTTAAAACATACGCTGTCTTCCTTGACCCAAGAGACAATCATGAGTTTTGTATGAGAATATCAAAAAATATATAAGAGGACATGCAGGCACAGGTGGATATGTATGTGTGTGTAATACTAAAATGTCTCCTCAAGATCTCCTCAGTGGTACATTTCACCCATTGCTAGAGCTTACCTGGTATATTTGAACCTGCCCGCCTCACCTTTGTCACTTACCTGTGATCCCTTCTCTTAGGTTGCTGGAAAAATTGCTGCAGATGCAGAGTGGCAGTTTTGTACTATTTCTTTCTTCATTCCAGAGTAACATGGTGGTTAATATAATAAGCCCTGGAAGAAAAACTGTTGTGTTCAATAAATTAATAAAAGACAGTTATTCTGCAGAAACATAATCACCATTTAAAAAAAATACTCAAAACTGATACATACACACATGTAAGGAAATTAACGGCAAGAGATGCTATTAAATTATTCACTAATTATTAACTAAATAAGTATTACCATTAATAGTTATTAATTTTTTAAGAATAATCTATGTTATTAAATAAACATCAGGGAAAACAAAAACAAAAACAAAAAACTCCGACTCACAAATCACAGAGTACAACTTCTACCCGGATCAGAGACCTAGATCTAAATTTTTAAACAATGTAATACAGCATTTAGTATGTAAATTAGCAAAATTCATGACTTTATGGTAGGGTAATAATCATTACACAAAAACTAGAAAGAAGTAACCACATAAAAGAACAGTTATCAAGCATACCCATTGTGAGCAAAGACTGTAAACTCAGATTCTCCCTTTTCTTTCTTGTAGGGCTTTTGTTGACATTTAGAATTTGACCACTGGACATAGAGATAGTTTTCTCTAACTGCAAGAAGTATTATTTGTATCAATTCTCTAACTGCATGAACTACTAGAATCAATTGCAAACCTGCTTTTCATTCACAATTTAAGAATAAAACTTTTTAAAACTGTGACAGATAACATTTGTAACTTTGATTTTTTTAAAACAATACTAGGAATTGAACTCAGGTTGCTCTACTTCTGAATTATATTCCCATTCATTTCCTATTTTTTATGTTGAGATAGTGTTTAACTTGCTCAGATTGGCCTTAAACTTGTGATCCTCCTCTCTCAGTCTCCTAAATTGCAGAAATTACAGACATGCACAAAAATGCTCAGGTAACTTAAAAATTATATCTCAAATTTATTAAAAATAATCATTTTGAGCCTTCAGTACTGTAGATATTTATCTCATGTCACTCCTATGGTTACCTGATATGGAAAAAGAAACATACATATATTATATTGGTACACATAATATTTTATTAATAAAGGTATTCTAATATCCTTTCACTGAGATGAAACTATCATAAAGCACATTTTAAATCATCTTACCCATGACATTTATATCTTACTATTCTCTCTGATAATCAAAAGCACCGGTGACTGAGCATTTCTTGAGAGGCCTGTGCTACTCTCTGAAATTCTTTCCAATCTATTGACACCACTTCTGCAAGTTTTGATGTTACTGTATTGCCAGAAGTTGACAAGAGATGTGTGTATGTGTGTATGTGTGTGTGTATATGTGTGTATGTGTGTGTGTAGCAATAAGTTAAAAATGATTTATAATTTATTTTTTAACAAATAATAGACCAAATTCCTGTGTACATGAGCACAGTTACAATATGTTATTAGCCTTCTAGTCAACAGTGTTTCTATACTGTCAATATCAACATGTTCTCTATTGTAAAGAAGTGAAAATATGCACTGTAGGATAAATCACTTTTTCATTTGATCATTTCTCATGGTTCTATGATTTATGAAGTCTTACCTACAGTATCATTATCTATTATTGAGAAAACATTCGAAAATTTGGTTTCATTACAGTTTTCCCACTTTAGTGAGCTTACAGCTGGGGTTAAAGACAGAGTTGTTAGTGAACTACTAGAATTTCTGTAAAATGTAGTGAATGCTTTTACATTGACCTGAAATCCATTTTGAATACTTGCTCATACCAGAAATTTGGTTTAGTCATACATAAAACTGTTTGTAGTTCTCTTCCTCCTCCACTAAAGAGCTTGGAGGAGGAAAACAACTACAAACTGGTACCCGGAAAAATATTTATCTTACATCACTCCTGATGGTTGTATCCAAGGGGATAGTGTATGTTGCACTTTATTGATCTACTGACTCCCATTCCCCACATAGATAACAATGATTAAATAAATAATGAGAAAAATATCTAAACAGTAATAATCAAAAGAAGAACTACAAATTGCCAAGAACTATATGAGAAAAATGTTCAACATCCTTACCAAGCATGGAAATGCAAATCAAAACTATACTGATATTTTATCTCACTCCATTTAGAATTTCAATTAAGAATACAAATAACAATAATTGCTGGGGGGACAGAGGAAACAGATATACAGTGTCTGTAGGACTTCAAATCATACAACCCCTTTGGAAAGCCCAATGGATATTCCTCAAAAGACCATGAATAGCGCTGCTATCAATATTGGTATGCATGTATCACTATAGTATGGGATTTCAGTTCCTCAGGATAAATACTACGGATTGGAATTCTGGGTCATACAATTCCAAACAGAAGACTTCTGGGAATAATCTTAGCTAAATAGTCTAATCATAGTTATAAATCTATGAACAAAAAACAAATGGTATTTTACTGTACTGCAGCTTAGTAACAGTATGTGTTGGGGTAGGAGAAACATGGACCATATGTGATTCATTTAATTGTTTTATTATATTAAATTATAACTAGATTTGTATTGTGAAAGAGAAAACAAGCCCTTCCCGTTCATAGTATGGAGTCTGAAATGCAATGTAAAGACCAGGATTTGCTGAATGAGTTTCTTCCTCTTGGACTTGTCAAGGTAACCTTTCAGCTCAGGTGTCACCTTTGAAGCAGGGCAAATGGTTTTAAGACAATATCCATTAATGGCAAATACTCAAGCACAATCCACTGACTATGTGTGGTTCCTAATTCCATTTACTTCTTTGGATATGTCCATTGTGGGGAGGGGGAAACAGTTCTTCCTAATGAGAAAATCCTGTGCTTATAACTGAGTTCTTTTTCCACATTTCATCACTTACTACCACATATGGGAAGACATACATATTATGATGCAAGTCATAATCACAGTGGAGGAAAGAGGAAATATCCCCCAAAACCTCATGTGTTGAAGGCTTATTCCCAATAGAGTAATGTGAAGAGATGGGTTTCTGGGAAGTGAATAGATCATGAGTGCTCTGACCACACAAGCTGAAAAGACTACTAGGATGTGACAGAAAATATAGGCTGGTGGGGCATGGTTGAAAGAAATGCCTTTGAGGATTGTATCTTGTCCCTGGCTCCTCCCCTGCTCAATCTAGCATTTTCTGCTATGATTTACTGCCTCACCTCAGAGAAATGGAGCCAAATGACTCTCCAAAACAATGAGCCAAATAAACCTTTTCTTCATTAAGTAGTTCTCCTCAGCTCTTTGTTACAACAAAGAAACAACAAAGACAATTGTTACTGAGAATCAGGGTTGGTCCTGTAACTATACCTGACCATGTGATTCAGAAATCTTTAAAACTGGTTTGAGGAGTAAGTTTGGAAAAGTTTTGACATTCAGGCCAGAGAAGCCTTAAAATGTTGTAATCATAGCTTAATGGGCAATGTTGGTGGGAACTTAGAAGGCCAGAATGCTGATACAAATGTGGACAATAATAACTGCACTCATGCAATATCAACTGGAAAAGAGGACTCTATTGGGAATGGGAGGGAGGTCATTCATTTTATACTGTGGCAAAGAACTTTATATTTTGTTAATCCCCTAAGACTCTGTGAGGCTGAATCTAAAAGTGATGGATTAATTAAACCAGTGGAAGAATTTTTTGAGGCAGAATAGCATTCAGACTGTGGCATGGAGCTTGCTGATAACTTTTACTGAGGTTTACTATGACAACCAGGAGAAAAGAGCATAGAAGAAAGATTTGAAAAACTTGAATTTGGGACAGAAAGTGATAATGTTTAATGTTAGGTCTGAGGATGGTAAAGTTACTTAACAGATTAACACAATTAAAGAAAGCCTAATACTTTGCAGAGGGGCAAGAGAAAAGATGCCTTGAAGGCATCTACGGCCAGTTCCTGATAGCCCATCACATACTCATGGTGTAAAACTTGCAACTATTTTGAAAGACTTTGCTTTGAGAAGAGAACAATGGATGATTTCTGAATACAGGGATACTTAAGAAGTTTTTCCCCAAGATTTGTTTCACTATGCTCAGGTGCACTCAGAAGCCACTGCAACCATGAACCAAGGGGGCCAGTGTTTCTTCTGGTGACAGACATTGGCTTTGTTCATGTGGAGATGGTTTTTCAGGAATACAGGATGCTGGAGTTAAGGGGTGTTGGGTTAAACTCTAATTCGTGCCTAGGAAAGTTTGAAGTGATATAAAAAGGACTCTTTAGATTTCTTGGAAATCTGGGAATGGAACCACAATTTAACCCAGCTATCCCTCTCCTCAGTTTATACCCAAAAGACTTAAAAATAGCATACTACAAGGGCACAGCCACATCAATGTTTAGCAGCACAATTCACAATAGCTAAACTGTGGATCCAACCTAGATGTCCTTCAGTGGAATAATGGATAAAAAATGTGGCATATATACACAATGGAATTTTACTCAGCAATAAAAGAGAATAAATCATGGCATTTGCAGGTAAATGGATGGGTTGGAGAAGATAATGCTAAGTGAAGTTAGCCAATTCCCCCAAAACAAATGGTAGATGTTTTCTCTGATATAAGGAGGCTGACTCATAGTGGGGTAGGAAAGGGAAGCATGGGCAGATTAGATGAATTCTAGATAGGGAAGAGGGGAGGGAGGGAAAGTGAGGGGCAGGGGCTTAGCAAGGTTAGTGGAATGTGATGGACATCTTTATACAAAGTACATGTATGAAGACACTAATTTGTGTCAACATACTTTATGTATAACCAGAGATATGAAAGATTGTGCTATATACATGTAATAAGAATTGTAATACACTCCACTGTCATTTATTTTTTAAAAGAAATCAATAAAAAAGATGAAAAGCACTCTTTAAAGAAGGCAATAACGAAGAAAGTAAATGGAGGTAGGAGGAAGCTAGTCACTTCTTCATTACCAATCTTTATGTGAGGATCAAACAAGAGGAATCTTGGTTGCAAAGAACATACCCATAAAACATGAAAAAATCCATCTGGGCTAGGGATGTGGCTCAAGTGGTAGCATGCTCGCCTGGCATGCGTGAGGCACTGGGTTCAATCCTCAGCACCACATAAAAATAAA